TTCTGCAATTTGCTACAAGTAAATTCTAACTGTTACTAAATACAACTGTGTAAAGTCACTCATTCATAGTGAATTGACACAATCAGCAGGATTCACAAACCTGCATTCGTGACATGGGTGTGGCAAATATGCCCAGTTATCTGCAAACATCTACCGCTATCTTAACTGATGTATTGTCAGAGTCTTTCTCCTTTTCACAGCTAACTCCAAATTTACTTGCACAACTTCAGAGGAGCCCTGATGACCTCACAAATGGGCTGTCAGGATGTAAGAATTTGGAGGCATTAGAAGAGGGACTGTACTCTCTCCACTTCTGTTTAAGATCATAAACTACCAGCAGTCTTCTAGCCTGTTATATTCCCTAAAAATTCAGGTAACTTAAGATATCCTTGGATAGTCCTTTTGCTGACAGGTTTTCTCATACAATGGCTGGGGTGGATTGAGGGAGCTTGATTCAGTTGCATAGATATATGCATAGAGCTATTTAGTGGCATTTGAGATGTTGTAAGGGTATCTCAGAAACCTCTGGATGTAGTGGAATATGACACAGAACTTATGGGAGACCCATGCCCTTCTGGATTGGCAGGTGGAGCTATGCAGGGTATCTGTGGACAGATCATGTCTGTCTTTAGCTAACTGAATTGATTGTAAAGTCACACTTTCCATGAACAGCACTGTTCAAGACTGACAAGATTTCAAAACTCGAAGGTCTGAAAGGGACCATTTCCTCTTTGGTCACCACCCCTGTGATGACTAAGCTAGTATTTGAACGACATGCTTGTGTCGTACAGAAGCCAATCACCAGCTCTAACTGCACTTCCCTCTCCATCACCTTTTGCCTTTTGATAATCCTCTGGCCAAAGATGCACACCAAGAGTGTCCTATCTTCCTATTCCTTTTGGATCCCCCAAGCCTAGGGCCCCTCCTGTTACAACTGGCAGGAGGTGGTTTCTCTCATAGCCTCAAGGACCATAAGCCCAATAATTCCTTAGGGCAGAGGTAGGGTTTTATGGTGCCATTTTGATGCTATAAAAAGAATGAGATCAGTCAGAACAAGCCACTGGATGGCTGCCTTAGCAGCAACCCCACCCTAACTGCAGAGGGGAGACTGGTTTGCCTTTCTTATTTATTGTCAGGGTGTGATCACCCCTCTCATGGAAAGTACCTTCCATTTGCAGCAGATAATGGTCATTACCATTACAAAGCACTCTCCCCTGAATTACTGCAGCTCCAGGATATTTGCCTGACTGTGGAAAATGACTGAGGATTCTCACTCATAGCCAGAAAATCTGTTAATTAAGGAGGCTTTCCTGATCAAGTTCTGAATATCCCTTAGACATGGAGGCTTATATTAATGTCTATGTGAGGCACAGTCCAAGCTTCTTTCCAGTGGTGGCTCTACCCGATGAGTATTTGTAGGAAGCATCATTTTAAGCAAAAACTCCTTCAGTGACGGGCACCTCTGGCATGGGTTTATGTGCATACGTACCATCATTTTACAGCCCTGGGCACTGCATTCGCTCAAGACCTTTCCTGTGATGCTAGCCACTCTAAAATGAGTATACTCATCAGTCTTGCTTGAATATAATGCTCTGTAATTAACAACACATCAGCAGATGTTTTAAAGAAACTGGAGCATAAAGCCAGATGCTACATCTGGAAGTAACGCTCTGCATGGGAGGGCAAGTAACACTCGTGCTGTGTTTGGAGGAGGAATGCCTGCTGGCAGGTAATGGGGCTTTGACAGACCAAGGGGCAGACACCATCTGTGGCTCTGAGCACATCCCTAAACATCACAGGAAGCTTGTCCTGGCAAGCAACTGTTTTTTCGCATGGTGAAATAGAAAGAGTAGTCAAGGATTTTATTAGCAGTAATAGCTTTATTACTATTTTTATATAAAAAGAAATGCCAGGTATACCAGTGAGGTATTTCCTATTAGTAAATAATCTTTTTATCAGTTTCGTACCATTAACAATCCAACATTATACTGACACAAAGCACATTTGATGAAGTAACATCTTACGGCTGTTCTGAAAATAAAGCTGAATATAGAAGTCAGCTGTGTAGCTGGTAAATAGGTCATCTGTTAGGAACAGATGTGCTCTTTCATCTGCACTGCTTGCCAGTTGGCTTTGACCTATAATGCCCTCAATGTCCTACTCTGCCTATCTAAGGTGGAGTGTGGATACACAAAGGGACTAGGAATCCTTCACTGATTATTCTCCAAAGGTCTCTTTAACCTGGAACTCATTTCCCACCCTTTTACCTTAAACAATCCTGATTTGTTGGCTTCTAGTCTACATGAGGCTGATCTATTCTTCCAGACTTGGAAAAGGGAAGAAGGCAAGGGGATCTGGCTAATGATAATTTGAAAATGTGGTATTGTCTTCTAGACCAAATACTTATTTTTTGAGGCTAAGACTCTTTGTTTAGCAGTTCAAATTTATCACAAAGTAGTTAGTGCCAAGGACTAGCAGAAAGGTGTCTTTATGTGTGTTCTTAAATATACAAAATTAAAACCCCCACACAGCATTTGTTTGAAAGTGATAAACAAACTTCTTGTTCAGCTGCAGTTTGTAGTGACATAATTTAGGATCTCAAAGCCAGACATACCTGGTTTCAATGTAGAAATACATTTAAAACAAAGAAAGGTATGATTCCCTCAATTTTGTGGGACTCATTCTTAAGCCTTAATAGGCTCCACAAGTGTTAATTCTTGCATTTATATCTCCCTGCTGTTTAGGATACAGAAAAAATAAGAGAAAGAAAGTAAAAGTTGTTCAGGGAGACAGCATCCTCTCACCTCCTTCCAGTTTAACCCTTATTTACTTACAACATTAAGGCTAGCAGAAAACGCCTAGGACTTGGAAGAGGTGGAACATACTTCCTTCTTCTTCAATTTCTAAAGCAAACAAGGATTGACCAGCCTTGGGCAATGCAGTTAAAAAGCATGTGATTCCTAATTTATAGATACACAGCGCAGTGCAGTTACATCTTCTCTATAGAAAAATGAAATCAAGCATGCAGTTCCTACAGGACCACAGCAAAGCCCTTCTCAGCTAGGTGATGTGACAAACAAGACCCACATCTGCCCTTTCCAAATGTTAGCAGATAAAGGATGGCTAGTTCTTAATGCATGCACAAAACAAGGAGCCTGTCATTTTTCCTTGAGTGCATGCAAGACTGTTTATTTTTGCACACACTTTCTTACTTCACACATTCTGCAAACATTTCAACTAAAGCAGGAAGAAGAGGGAAGTGTTTATTCCTGCATACATTAATCAAAAGAGGATAAACAAATTACTGAAGCTTCTAAAAAACCAAACCAAAACAAAACAAAAAAACCCCACCACCCAAAACCCCCAAAACCAAACCAAGAATATCTATCTGCTTTTTGGGTAGAAAAGTACAGCTACCTTCAAACACAAGGGTGATTTATGCAGAAATGGATCCAGTAAGCCACTCTTGCTGCCCTAAAGACATTCTATGTGTCCAAACAGCAGGATGGACATATGTAAACTGAAGTCAAATATCTGCTTACATACCTTCTTTTACCACATTCTTACAATTGTTTAAGTTTTACCACATTTTAGTTGCAGCACTGAAGGCAGCGTGAGGAGCGTTAGCAAAGCATAACTGGAACTTTAATGTATTTATGAAATTGTATAAATTAATTTGTATGCTTCAAGCACTTACTAGACAGCGATAGCTCTCTGAATTCTCTAACTAAAGGGAAATACAGCAACCGCATGCATACATCCATAAGCATCCTTGTGTATATCACACATCAACACAAACAGCTTTTATATAACAAAGTGCAACGTGACAGTAGGATATGGCCACTTGCTACCAGCTCAAATATTACATTGCATTCTTATTTGTACAGAGGTTTCAGCTCTTAGACATAAGCCTCTACTGTTTTTCACTCTAACTAAAGGTGTATAACCTAAAGCAGAATGGGAATACTGCATTTTAAAAAAAGGCAGAATTTTATGCCCAACTGGCAACAACTGTAAACGACAACAAATGTGCTAGGCATCCAGTGTTGGGTTCGGCTCCACTGTTGATACTTAGTTCTCCAGAGATGAAAAAAAAGTCAAGGGTCTGACTATAGGACAAACTCTATACAAATGAGTTCAAATAGGATGAAATTACTTCATTCTCCCCTTTACTGGCTGGTGGCCTTATTGTCAGCAGAGCTGCTGAAAGACACAGAACTCAGTTAAGCACCAAAGATCTTACCTCTACCTGCACCTGGTCGTCATCAGGTTTGTTTTCAGCAAATGAAGATTTCCTGGTCTGTCCTCGCCTGTGGCCAAACTTGCATTTGTTCCTCAGGACTTGCTCATCATCTTCAATGGGTCTCCGCACATATTTGAAACGATCTTTAAGGGCCCGTTTCCATAGCAACTGCATGGGGAAAAAAAATCAGTCCTTACCAGTATCTTTGAAGAATTTACCTCATTCCTAAAGCGGGTCACTTTGTTTCATCTAACGCTATTTTATAAAATAGTGTTTGCCACTAAGCAGAAAAAGACTCACAGGGCAGCATCAGCATACTGGTGGCTTCAGGACTGAAGGGAACACAAGTAACTGCGGTATATGACTCTACGGCAACTAAACAGCAGGGCTACTGGCACTGGTGTGGTTCATTAAGGATGACAGTAATTGAACCCAAGAGTTAGATTTATCCAATACAACCAGGGCTGTCAGTGAAACTGCAGTTTACTTTCCTTTTCTCAGCTCTACTTTGGATGCTCCATTGATGACAACAGGTCATGAAGCTACACAGTGAATCAGCTCAGCTCACTGATGCCACAGAAAACTAATGTTGGGGGTTTTTTTGGGGTTGGTTTTTTTTTTTTTGGGGGGGTGGATTATTTTTCCCCTGCCTCTGACTGGTTGTGCAGTTGTATGATTATCATATCTAACAAGGCAGCAGGAAAGACATGGTGGGAGAGCCCCTGTTGCAGGAAGCCTACAGTTACACTGGATCAAGTGTATTATTAAACTGAACTTAAAATTGCTGAATTAAAAGGATCATTTAAGTAGGACCTAGCATTTGTGAGACTCCTCAAGGTACGTAAATTGCAACTTAAAGGCAGTTCTGCATTGCAAGTGGGTGCAGTCCCTGTTTAATGGAGCCACTCACCGCTCCTTGGCAGACAGAATTCCTTGCACATCCTTACGGACAGATGGCTGTTCACCTGCAGTCCCCGGCTGGGTATCCAGTGGCGGGACCCAGCCATGCTAACTACTGAGACACTGGGAAGCAATTACTAAGCCAAGGCTGCTGAACATGTCTGCAGGCAAACCCTGCAGTTGTGAATATTGAAAATGTTTTGTCAGATCCTCAAAAGCAACTGCTTATTTCAGTTATTGAGGGTTTTCAACAGAGGGAACAAAAATTAGTCAGAAAAGTGACTGTAAATGACAGGATGTGGCAAGAGAGATTCAAATAGCTGGTACTTTGTTTTCTAAAATTGACTCCAATGCTATATTCACTTAATACTATACTCAAGCCTGTACTCACTGACATACTAAAACACAATATAAAGAGAAGAATGATTACCCCAAATTTCTTACCAAAATTATGTCCTTTATTAGTCAAGGTCATATGCCTTTAAGGGTTAACTTTGGTGTAAACCAGAATTCAGTAAAAGTAGACCAAGTAGTACAGTATCTTTCTTTGCAGCGAGTCTGACATCCCTGCCTTTCTCACCCACAGGATATGGATGGGGGGGTCTCTTAAAAGATGGTGGTGAAGGCAGTGTGACCTTGCCTTTCTCCTGCCCACCTCCCGAGGGTACTAGCTGACTTACAGGTCCTCAATCCTAAAAGCAAGAGCTCCACGAATGGTGAAAAATGAGAGTGGAAGAGCTATGAGAATACAGCCCCTGTGGTGTCTACCTCAGCTCTTCTTGGGCAGACCTGGGCCAGCCAGAGCAGGTGTGCCCTTCCTGGGGGGACACTTTCTGTCACCCACCTACGGGCTCTTACAGAAGTATCCTCTCACTGCCAGTCACATGTGAACATCCAAGAACTGGAAAGAAAACAAACCCATCTGCATTTCTAGTACGTAAACTTCAGACTTAGGATTCTCCCAGAAGAGGAGTCACATCGCCACCAATCTAAATGTAATGATTAGAAACAGAGCACAACTGCTCACCCATCTTCTCGCAAGGCATATTTACAGCTTCAGTTTGAATATTACACCCCAGCACTGTTTTCAAAAGCAGTAAGGTGACTACATGCCTTGAAAATCCCACTTGCTAACCGCCTCAACCACTAAGGTTCCTAAATACATTTACAATTCTAGCCCTATGCATTTACATTTTGATGCAAATACCCTGATGTTATACGCCCAGCAAAGTTTATTTGGAACATTGTTATTTTAAGGCTGTTAAGAAACAAGCAAATGAAAACCTTAGCTTAATGCTTCTCTAAAGTGTTCCACAGATGTTAAAATATTTTAAAACATGATCATCCCAGAATATATTAGCAGCTGACGATTTAAATATCCCCTTAGCTGAGTTTTGCGCAGTTTCTTTCTTTTGAAGACCTTTGTTTGGCTAGAAGACACTTTTGCTTATTCTTCCACATGAAAGAATATGCTGACACCTATACAGAGCTTTAAATATCCCTCAAAGCTCAAAACATTCAGTTGTTTCATCCTCCTGTCCTCAGATAAATTAAGAGTTTTAACTAAATCTATTTCAGTAATAGGATTCTCATAAGCTTAGCCAACTCTCTTCTCACATACCTATTTCATGAATGAGACTGTGAGCACATACATTTATGTGGTTTCCCTAGCAGGTAATGCATCTTCTAAAAAGGATGCTTTCATTACCATTTTTGAGCTGATAACTTTATTTTCTAGTTTAAAAAAACCCAAACCACCCCAGGAAGGTTTACAATGCTTGTAAGGGAGCAGGATTAGTCTGTGTCCATCTGACATAGGAGGGAAAGGATTACATGCAGATTAAAAGCGGTAATTTACTAGCAAATAATCATTTTGTGCTCAGTGGTTACATAAATCAGGCATGTCAGCACTGGGATCCCAGGTTTCACCAGCATCACGGCACTGCTCTGCAGCCCCAAGCTCGAGGGAGCTGCTTACGCAAAACCCACTGGCAAGAGTGCGGAGGAGAGAGCCCTCTCT